TCACTTAAATGTATATAGTGGCAGCAGTTTTAAGTCAGTGCTTTAGTTTTTATGTTCATACACCAGCCAAAAAATATCTTTTTGTGTATTTGGGCAAGATGGAACTTGAACTGATGCCTTATTTGAAAATTATATTGTGTGCTGTATATCACATAAGTTTCCTGTGAATTTGGATAAAATACAGTCAATAAAATCTTAAGAAAAAGGTCATGTTTTAAAAACTGTTGCAGGTGTCTTAGAAAAATATAGCTTCAGTTATTAGAATTATGTTATATATTTTTATGATTAAGAATAATAGTGATGATAGATTTTGATAGGAATCATTACTAACCATTGTCGTCCTCACAGTGTAAATGATGTATTGTTTTATCTTTCTTTCTTTTTGATTATTATTATTTCTTTGTAAATTATGTTTGAGATATATATCATTGTCATTTCCATTATCTTGATAACTTATTATTCATTAGTAATATTATTATTATTATTATTTTCAGTTATTATTATTACTATTATTATTGTTATCTCCATTATTGTTGTTGTTATTTTTGGTATTACTATTATTATTATTATTATTATTGTTGTTGTTATTATTATTATCATTACTATTATTATTATTATTATTATTATTATTATTATTATTATTGTTATTATTGTTACTATTATTATCATTATCATTATTATTATTGATATTGTTATTGTTGTTGTTGTTGTTGCTATTATTATTATTATTATTATTGTTGTTGTTATTATTATTTTATTATTATTATTGTTATTATTATTATTATTTATATTATTATTATTATTGTTATTATTGTTGTGATATAGTTTTCTTTACAATTAGGTTGTTGTTATTATCAAATAATTTTATTATTATTATTATTATTATATTTTTCATTATTTTTTATTTATTTATTTTGTTATTGTTTTATTGTCATTATTGGAATTACTATCATTATTGCTATCAGTGTCATGATTTTAGTATTATATTGCTATTACCTATTATTATTATTACTATTTTTTTATTATGATGATTATTGTTGTTGTTATTATTATCATTATTATTATTATTATTATTATTATTATTAACATCATTATAGTTATAATAATGATAGTAATTATTATTATTGTTGTTACTGTTGTTATTAGTAGTAGTAGTTTTTTTATTATTATTATTGTCATGATTTTAGTATTATATTGCTATTACCTATTATTATTATTACTATTTTTTTATTATGATGATTATTGTTGTTGTTATTATTATCATTATTATTATTATTATTATTATTATTATAATTATTATTATTAACATCATTATAGTTATAATAATGATAGTAATTATTATTATTGTTGTTACTGTTGTTATTAGTAGTAGTAGTTTTTTTATTATTATTATTGTTGTTATTATTATTGTTGTTAGTGCTAGTATTGTTATTGTTTTAATAATTATTAATATTATTATTATTATTATTATTAGTTATTATTGTTATTATTATTATTATTGTTATTATTGTTATTATTATTATTATTATTATCACTATTATTATTATTATATTATTAATATTATTATTGTTATTATTATTATTATTATTATTATTATTATTATTATTTTAATTATTATTATTCCTCATTATTTTTATTGTCCCTTTATATCATGATTACCAGTGTTGATATTGTTGGTGAAATTATCATTATTTTACATTATTTTTATCAGTTTAGTCATTGTATTTTATATAAAGTAATATAATTATATTACTTTTATAGATGATATAATATTATTTTATAGATAGTATAATAAACTATTTTGATTGTTGTTGTTATTATTATTGTTGTTGTTATTATTATTGTTGTTGTTATTATTATTGTTGTTATTATTATTGTTGTTGTTATTATTATCATTACTACAATTATTATTATTGTTATTATTATTATTATCATTATTATTATTATTATCATTATTATTATTATTGTTATTATTGTTGTGATATAGTTTTCTTTACAATTAGGTTGTTGTTATTATCAAATAATTTTATTATTATTATTATTGTTATTATTATTATTATCATTATCATTATTATTATTATTTATTATTATTATATATTATTATTATTATCATTACTATTATTATTATTATCATTATTTTATTATTGTTGTTGTTATTATTATTTTATTATTATTATTATCATTATTATTATTATTGTTGTTATTATTATCATTATTATTATTATTATTATCATTATTATTATTATTATTATTATTATTATTATTCTTATTATTATTATTATTATTATTATTGTTATTATTATTATTATCTATTATTGTTGTTATTGTACTTATCATTATTTTTATGGTTATTATTGCTGTTGTTGTAGTTGTTGTTTTTGTTATTGTTTTTGTTGTTATTGTAACTGATATCAATGTTTCATTATCATCACAATTATTAAGCATTATCATCATTATTGATAGTATAGTGTTTTTCTTCAAAATATTATCATCTTTATTGTTATTGTCATTATTGTTATAGCATTAGCTTTATTGATTATTTTATTTATCCTATATCTTCTTTCAACAACTGCTTTATCATTTTCCTGTTTGTGTCTTTTATTTTTCCTGTTATTTTATGCTATTATTTTATCTTGATATATCAATTAGTATGTAGTACTTACCATTATTATTGTTTTCCTTTTCTATTTTTTTTCTTCTTTTTTTAAATTGTTATTGTTATATTTATCATCTTATCTATCCAGTTAGTATGTTGTTCATTTCCTGGAATGAGACAAGTATTTTCAGTCTGTGTCATTTTCTGTGAACTTATGTCAATATCATTCACATATTTGTTAGTATGATGAATTATTATGATTTTAGATGAATATTTTCATTTTTATGTTAGTTACCGTTTTCCACTACTGTACACTTTCTGTCTGGTTACTTTCACAATACCTTGCGGTCCCTCTAGGTACTCGATGCGAACCTCAGTGAGAGTGTAATTCTGGCACTAACCTCGACAAGTCAGTGGAAGCTGGCCCTCAAACACATCGCTAACATCAGGAGGATGTGCAACGTTAGCACAAAGGTCTATAGCTCAATTATTACAGCAACTTTTAGGAACGGAGACTATGACACGGGCTGGCGCTACCTGGAGACTATGTGCCAGGAAGAGAAGGTGAGTGAGGAAAGCTCTTGAGTGGAAGCTGTGGGCCAAGAGACATTCAGTGGTCAGATATTGTTGACCCTTTTTGTTTTTCTTTGTTTTTGGGTGTTTGGTTGTTATTTTCTGTCATTTTAGTTATCATAGATAGTTATTTTTTTCTTGATCTTGGGTGATAGTCAAGTGAGATTTCAGTGGTTAGTATTGATCATTGTTATCATTATGATGATCTGTATCAGTCATCTTTGTTCTGAGTGTTATCTTCATCATCTGTTATCATTTTCATGATCAGTGGTTGTCATAGTGGTTAGTAACATTATTATCATTTTAGTTGATAGTTGTATTTTAAAACTGCATAGACATTCTAACCCTTCTTTTCTATTGTTATTATTAGTAGTAGTTACACTTCATTTATTTAAACTTAATACATAGTAGATTGTGATATTTATGGGACTTATATTTTAGTAAACAGAACTGTAAAATATAAAGAAAATATAATGAACCAACCCACACTCTTAAAGGAAACATGATATGAGGAAATGAGCTAGTCATGTTCACCTATTTTTGATGCTGCTCTTGGGAGGCAGTTATGTGTCTCTTTATTTGTCATATCATTGTTATGATAATTGTCTTAATCATCAGTCATTTCATCATTGGTAGTAGCTGTTAGATTTACAGCTGATTGAAAAGAAAAAAAATGTATCTTTGTAAATGTTCTGTGTGTTTTTTTATATGTTTGTATGTCTTTTTGTTATTAGGTAATGATTTTTTTTTCAGATGCCTGCTGATTCCACATTGTTGGAGTGGATTACCCAGTGTGAAAAGGCAGAGGGTGTTGAGGAAAAGCAATCAATGATGGTGACATTGTTAGACAAGTTGATTCTCTATGAGATCTTCCCCAAAGTGCCAGTTATTGAGAGTATTGCTAACCTTTTTAGCAAAGGTCTGGGGTGGTCAAACTTGTATGTGAAAATGTCCAAAAGGTCAGCATATTTTGTTTGTTTGGTGTGATATTGTCTCACTTTTATCTGCTAAATCATGTTTAAATATATAGAATGATGATTGATTTGAATGATAATTCCAAATGAAATTATATTTGAAGTGGAAAATGCCCTGCCTGCAACCAGCAGTTACATCAGCTCGACATTAGTGAAGCAGAATTTCAAGAGTTGCAGGTGATTATTTCAATTTATGATAATGTGTGTGGATGTGGGTGTGGGACTGTGGTATGTGTGTCTATGTTAGTGCATGCATACATGTGTGTGTTTAGGTGTTTGATTTGAGTGAATATATATTTCTGTAAATTTTGCTGATTTGACCAGTACATCAATAATCACCAGTCTGTCTCAACCAAACTCTACAACAGCTACTTCTATTGGCCATATCCGCTAGTTGTCTTGGATTCTTTCTATCTATAATTGCAAGCTCAAAACTCACCCTGATCATGATATGTACAGAGCACTCCACACATTAAATTTCCTTGAGTATGGAATTCACACAACTATATGCATGGCTTAAGAACACTGGAGTATTGTGCTAACACAACACAATATACATATTTTACAAAATACCAGCTTAAGTCTAGCTGATTGAGACTCATAAACACCTATGGATTTGATAAAATGATTCAGTTGAAACATTAAATATATAGTATTTGAAATCAAACTTAACAACTGATACTTGTACCCAAAACATATACATAACCATTTAAGCATAAATGACATATGATACTGCTGCAACACAAAAACCACATACCTTAGCAGAACAGAATTGCATAAGCATGCATATTTCCTCACACTATATATGTCTATTCCTCCTAGCAACTATAGTTTGATTTTAAATTTTATTTGATATGAACCATGTTCAACACAGAGCATTTTGAATTATTGAGGTATGTGAGAGGTATATGTAAATTATTGCTATTATGAAGACAAAATTTTTATGTTCCACATAGAAGATTTGATCTACCATTCATTTTCTAACAGAATGAATATGTGCCACGTGTTCTTCATGGATCAGATATATTTCGTTCAAGTAGCCCTGAAGAATGGCACAAGTTCCAGACATTTTTAGAAGAAAGAGGGCCATTTTCTGTCGTAGTCGATGGCCTAAATGTATCATACCTTGCAGGAAAGAAACCTCTTAGTCAGCGATCTGTTATGGTAAGAGTGACAATTTTTTTTTTTTTCAGATGCCTGCTGATTCCACATTGTTGGAGTGGATTACCCAGTGTGAAAAGGCAGAGGGTGTTGAGGAAAAGCAATCAATGATGGTGACATTGTTAGACAAGTTGATTCTCTATGAGATCTTCCCCAAAGTGCCAGTTATTGAGAGTATTGCTAACCTTTTTAGCAAAGGTCTGGGGTGGTCAAACTTGTATGTGAAAATGTCCAAAAGGTCAGCATATTTTGTTTGTTTGGTGTGATATTGTCTCACTTTTATCTGCTAAATCATGTTTAAATATATAGAATGATGATTGATTTGAATGATAATTCCAAATGAAATTATATTTGAAGTGGAAAATGCCCTGCCTGCAACCAGCAGTTACATCAGCTCGACATTAGTGAAGCAGAATTTCAAGAGTTGCAGGTGATTATTTCAATTTATGATAATGTGTGTGGATGTGGGTGTGGGACTGTGGTATGTGTGTCTATGTTAGTGCATGCATACATGTGTGTGTTTAGGTGTTTGATTTGAGTGAATATATATTTCTGTAAATTTTGCTGATTTGACCAGTACATCAATAATCACCAGTCTGTCTCAACCAAACTCTACAACAGCTACTTCTATTGGCCATATCCGCTAGTTGTCTTGGATTCTTTCTATCTATAATTGCAAGCTCAAAACTCACCCTGATCATATGTACAGAGCACTCCACACATTAAATTTCCTTGAGTATGGAATTCACACAACTATATGCATGGCTTAAGAACACTGGAGTATTGTGCTAACACAACACAATATACATATTTTACAAAATACCAGCTTAAGTCTAGCTGATTGAGACTCATAAACACCTATGGATTTGATAAAATGATTCAGTTGAAACATTAAATATATAGTATTTGAAATCAAACTTAACAACTGATACTTGTACCCAAAACATATACATAACCATTTAAGCATAAATGACATATGATACTGCTGCAACACAAAAACCACATACCTTAGCAGAACAGAATTGCATAAGCATGCATATTTCCTCACACTATATATGTCTATTCCTCCTAGCAACTATAGTTTGATTTTAAATTTTATTTGATATGAACCATGTTCAACACAGAGCATTTTGAATTATTGAGGTATGTGAGAGGTATATGTAAATTATTGCTATTATGAAGACAAAATTTTTATGTTCCACATAGAAGATTTGATCTACCATTCATTTTCTAACAGAATGAATATGTGCCACGTGTTCTTCATGGATCAGATATATTTCGTTCAAGTAGCCCTGAAGAATGGCACAAGTTCCAGACATTTTTAGAAGAAAGAGGGCCATTTTCTGTCGTAGTCGATGGCCTAAATGTATCATACCTTGCAGGAAAGAAACCTCTTAGTCAGCGATCTGTTATGGTAAGAGTGACAATTTTTTTTTTTCTCTCTCTCTCTCTCCCTCCTCTCAGTATTTTGAAAGTACATAACTTGCATTTTATTAAATTCACCTGTGAAGTATAAGCTCTTTTATTCATAAACAGATTGAAAAATATGTAATTGTGTTTTATATCATTCTAGTTGAAGCATGTTGTGGAAAAGTTATGCACCAGAGCCAAGAATGGTCGCATATTGGTCATTGGCAGGAAACACATGAGGGAATGGTCTGAAGTTGATTTTAATGCTGTAAAAAAGATGGCAGATGTATACACCCTTGATAACCTGTAAGTTGAATAAACTTTTGGTGCACAGATTTTTAAGCCTATACTGAAGTTGTAAATGCATAGAATTATAATGTATTGGAATATTTATTGCAGTATGATTACTTGTTTGGTGACATCTATAAAATTGAACAAGTCAGTATACCAGTATGCAGAGTGAATATACAGATCTATAGTTTTTTTATCATTATCACACGCACACGCACACGCACACGCACACGCACACGCACACGCACACGCACACGCACACGCACACGCACACGCACACGCACACGCACACGCACACGCACACACACACACACACACACACACACACACACACACACACACACACACACACACAAATATAGGGAACTACTTCAAGCAGCTATGGCTTTCTTTTTGTAGGACCAAGGATGATGGCTTCTTCATATATGCGGCACTTCGATCTGGTCAAGGGACAAAGATTGTGTCAAGGTAAAGGTTATGAATCTAGAAATAATATTAGCATGTTAGTATTGACTCATATCTCTTTAAAACAATGCTGGAAGTTTGTAAGACTGATTTAGTAAGTTTTTATCTGAATTCAATTAATATGTCAGAATTAAAAAGATGCAGCAGTTCAATTTGTACTTCTGAATTTAAGCACATTTAAGTTGTCCTTATTATCATTTGTAATTATTAATGGAAAGTTTTATTATATGCTCTTTCTAGTTTTTTAATAAAAGGTTTTGTTAAGGATTTTATGATCATAAATTTTGGCTAATATCCTTATCATCAAGGTGTCTAATAGTGCTGAAGCATTTAATGAGATTGGGAGAAGCTAGGAGCAGTTAAACCTTTTCAGAAGCCACACCCATCTCCCAGCCCTTGTACTGAGTCATTTATGCACACAATGTCTTCATTATTTATAATCTTCTGTATAATAATGTTGAAAATTAGGATTTTAGGATTTGTGGGGTTTGTTTCTTATTAATCTACATTTGCTACTACTTTATTATTATTATTATTTTTTTTTTTTTTTTTTTTTGGGGGGGGGGGGTCCTTGATTTCAAATGTTTAAATAATACATGTTCAATATTTTTAACATTCTCTAGAGTGATAATGCCTTGAAACCATTTAAGTTATTATGTTATTGATTCTTATAGGAATCCCTTGACTAACAGTTTTATTTAAGTTATTATGTTATTGATTCTTATAGGAATCCCTTGACTAACAGTTTTGATTACCAACTGAACATCCATAGTATGAGTAGATGTATAGCAACATGAACGTTGTATATGAACCAATTAGTTCCAAGCTATGGGAAAGGGACATTGCTTCTACTGTGCTGTAGACTATGACAACCAAGGTCATGATTTTGCAGGTGGCAGGATGTAACTGCTGTATATATTATTTGATAGAAATAAGTAATGTCTTGAATATCCGAAACAGAGATTGACTTTGTGTTTTTTTTTACAGTGACATGTTGCGTGATCATCTGTACCGCCTGGGAGATGGATCCCTGAGAGAGACCTTTAGACGTTGGCAAAGACAACATCAAGTTTTAGCTGTCCCATCTGTTGGTGGTGTTCAGCTTATTGTAAGCCTATGTTTGTTTATGATGTAATGTTTTTGAATGGGAAGAATAGCCACATCTTTCCATATATTTAGTGTTTGTAGTAATTAATTTGCAATTGTTTTTGTATTATATATATATCCTCCCCCTTCAAAAAATAAAATGTACCACTTGCTTCTCCAGGAACCTGCATCCTTCAGCACAACAGCTCAGAACCAGGGAACAACAAATTGGCATATACCTTATGATGATGGATCACCACGTGCATCCTATCAGCTTCCTAAGACTTGGTTATGTACACGAGCAAATCCACATGCCAGCAGTAAGGATCCACACTCTGTTATTTGGGGGAGGACAGTCCAAAGTGTTCCCTTTACAGAAACGGACACAGACAGGGTGGACTATGTAGCTAATAAAAACTTTAGGCAACTCTCCAAAGCTCCAAGGGATAATATTGGAGGGAAATATAATAGCAGAAAGGAACCTCAAACAGCACATGTATCCAGAGCAAGAAATGTGCAGTCTTCTAAAATATATAACTACTCTAAGAAGAGCAATACAAAAGTTGTTAAAAAATTAGTTGTCTCTGATTTATTTAAAGAATGAAAAAAAAAAAAATATCACAAGACTATACCTGTGTACCCATCTAAAATGTTGTATACAATTTGTGAATGTAATAGTAGTAACTTTCATAGTAGTTTTGATACTGATGGTGCTATTACATTTTATATATGGAGTATTGTACAAAGTGCTTTCCCGAAAAGAAATTTATTTATTACATGTGTTTCCTTTTCCTTTCTTGGCTAAGATAACAAGAATGGTTATTGTAGACTGGCAGCCCCACTTCCGTCTAAACTATTAAAGTACTAAGCCAGTTCTTTGTATCATTACCTTCCTGACTAAACTGGTATTTAGCAATTGTCCAGTCTGGCACATTTCAGACTGACAACTCATTTGCACTTGTGAGCATTACTCTCCTCAAAACCATTTTATTAACCCTACAATGAGATCAGTAATCAACACTACACGGAGAGTGACACACACTCCTATACTAAATACACGGAGAGTAACACAGACACGTCGAACATAGTCACTAGTAATGTTGCACTTATAGGTCGCATTCATAGTTCGTTCGGCGCGCTTCCTTTTCTTTCCGTGCCGTGGGGGAGGACAAGGAGATGCTGGTGTCTCAAGGACCTTGATGGCCCTGACAACCTCGTAGGTCAGGAGAGCCTCGTCTGCGGGCAAAGAGGGCGGCCAATAGTCGTCCCCTGTACGGCACGTGCTCTCGCTCCGGCTCGCGCGCTTACTCCGCCA